GAGCTCGGGAAGAAGGCGGCCCCTCTGAGCCCAGCGGGCTGGGGCCTGGGCACCTCAGCATCCAGGCCCTGGGGCACCTTCTTGTGCTGAGGTTAAGAAAACGGGGATTGAATCGCCCACATCCCTCGCATTGCAAGGCAGGTTCTTTAACCAGTGGACGCCCAGGGAAGCCCCCAGGCTGCTGCCCACTCCCCGGCTGCCCCGTTCTCACACCCGCAACCCAGGCCGGCACCCCAGATCTCCCGCCCTGCAGGCCGCGAAGCCTGGGGTTCCTCAGCCCTGGGCTCCATCCAGGGGTCGAGCAGCCCACAGACCCCCCACCCTGATGGCAAGCAGGCAGGGCAGATCTTGGGCACCCCCCACTCCCAGGTCAGGAGAGGCCAGCCCTTGAGATTCCAGGGCTCCTAGTGGGCCTCAGGAGGCACCAGAGGCCGGCGAGAGAGGCCAGCAGGCTGGGGGCCCACACCAGCCCCCCACGTCCTGAAGCTGCCCCGACTCTGGCTCCTCGAGGGGGCTCCAGGCTCAGTGACCCCCTGTCACTGGGAATTGTAGCCCAGGGTCTAGGGTTGGCTTGTGGGTGGGGGTCCCCTCCTCTGCGGCCGCTCCCCGGCCACGAGGCCCGGGCGGGCGCCTCAGCTCAGCTTGGGTTCCAGAAACATTTGCTTTAAGTCTTAAAATATCAGGTTCCTGCATCACGGCTTTCTCTGGGGGCCACCGGGCAGGCAGGAGGGACTGAGGAGTGAGAGGATCCCCCCCGCACCCCCCCAGGCCCCACCCCAGCAGCCTCTCTGCCAGGCCCTCAGCCGAGGCCAGCCAAGCAACAAGGGTCGGCCTGTTGGGGGAGGGCTCACGGGGGAAGTTCCCAGGTGCCCGCAGCAAACCCCGCCTCTCTGGGGCCCCTATGCACCTCAGAACCCTTCGCTGGGGGAGGCGCAGGTCCCAGCAGCCACACGGTCCCCCTGGGGACAGACTCCCTGCCGCAGGGCCCACGGAAGGGTGCAGCCAAGGACGGGCCAGATGGGGAGGGGGCCCGAGAACCAGCCTCGTCCTCTCAGCCGCGGAGCCTGACCCGCCAGGTGGGAGGGGCCTTGACAGAGGCTGGGGCCAGGTGGGTGCTGGGCCCACAGCCGGGTGGCTCCCAGGGACAGGGACGCTTGCGTGGGCACCTGAAGGATGAGTAGGAGTTCTAGGCTGGGCCTGGTTCTGGTGGTCGGGCTCCCCGCACAGAAGGACCAGACTGGAGGGCCCGGGCTGGGGCCGGGCTGGTGGAGCTGGACACAGGCAGCGGGTGACTCAGGCGCTCAGGTGAGCCAAGCTCCGGGACCTGCAGGACAGGAGCCCTGCCAGGCTCAGGGGACAGGAGAGTCCTGGGTGACCCAGCAGCGTGAAAGTGGCTGCCTCTCCTGCTGCGGCCCCAGGGACCACCGCCTGAGGAAGGCTCAGGCCCCCCAGCCCGCCCACCCCGCCCTCGGCAGACCACCGGCCTCGGCCCCGGGGACCCGCCTCGGCACAGAGTGGGAATTGGAGCCAGGCAGCAACAGCTGGGCCCACTCGAGCGTCCCCCGGGGCCCCGCCTCCATTCCCAGGCCCCCATCCCAGCCTGTTCCCAGGCTGCACCCCCGCCCCCAGAACCCTGCTCGGGACCTGGGTGGACCACCAGCTAGGACCTCTTGCCCACCCCCTGGCGACTCGGGCACAGACCCGCCCTTGGGCCAGAGGGTGCTCCTGGGGTGGCGGGGGTCGGACTGCCCCCCGCCCTCCCGACCTGCCCTGTCCCTGCCACGGGCACATAGCCCATTGGGACCAGCGGCAGGCCCCAGGCGCCTCTCGGGCAGGCCTGTGCAGGTGCAGACAGACGCCGTTTTGGTGGCTGCAGGGGGGTGCCTGCCTCTGCCTGCCTCCCTGGGAGCGGGTCTCAGGGACCCCACGTCTCTGTCCTCACCCCCGCCGCCACGCACGGTCTGGGCGCCCTCTACCATCTGAGGCTGTGAAGGCCCCACTGCATCCCCCAGAGGACTGGCCATGGCCACTCAGGGGGGTGGGTGCCTCCCAGAAGGGCTGGCTCTGCGCTCTGGCCGCCTGGCTGCCCATCTGTTAGTGGGGCCTCCTGTACGTGGGCTGGACCAAGCCTCCCATTTCACAGATGGAGAAACTGAGGCCGTGCAGAACAGTGAGCTGCAGGAGTCCTGTGGACGTCAGGCAGGGCTGACAAGGGAGGCGGGGGGGGGGGGAGGAGGGATGTGGAGGACCAGGGCTCGACCCCCAGATCCTCGCTGCCCGCATGGTCCTGCCTCAGGGCAGGGCCAGAGGAGGCAGGGCCCCAGCGGCTACCCCCTCCCAACCCCAGGAACCAAGTGGGGGCGGGTAGTTACCGCCTGGAGAGGATAAGGAGGTCGTTGGCGCCCCTGAAACCCAAGCCGGCACCAGCTCTGGGAATGGACGTCTGACCCCTCTAAGGCCCCCAGGGCCCCGGAGAAAATCCTCGAGGCCAAGTTAATACCAAGACCAATTTTTATTTCAACAAAGTTAATTCTCAACAATGTGATACTGAGGGAGCAGGGTTTCGCTGCCTGGGGGAGGGGACTGGAGCCCTGGTGCAGCACCGCTCCCCTCCCCCAGCTGCCCCCTCCCCCAGCCATCCCCTCCCCCCGCCCCTTCCCCCAGTACAGGCCCGGCTGGGGACAGAGGGGTCCAGGCTGCACCTCCAGGGTGGCGGTGGACCCCCAACTCTGCTCTTGGGCCTGGAGTGCCCTCTCCACACCCCACCCCCGGCCCGAGCCGGTGGGGGGACCCCCAAGCCCGCCCTGGTCCCACTGAGGACATGGCCCCACCCTGTCTGTGACCCGGGTGACCCAGCAGCCCGGGTCCCCGGGCGGCACCACCAAGCGGACCGTGACCACGCGGGCGGCTGCTTATGAGGGCCTGGGCTGGGACGGGGTGCTCCCAGAGGGCGAGCAGGCCCCCCACCCCGTCTCTGCCCACCTCCAGGCGCCCAGAGAGAAGCGGAAGGGAGGGGCAGCGGTGGAGGGACTCGCCGACCTCGCTGCCCCGGCCGAGCCCCGGGCTGGACCCGGAAGCCGCCTTGCAGGGATAATCGATGGTCTGGGGGCTTGGGAGGCTTGGCAAGCCTGTCAGAAACCCCTCCTGATGAGGGCCACATGAGCTGCCTGCGGGCCCTGCGGCCCCCACCGGCCCCTCCGCCAGGTGCCCACGGCTATGCATTGGCAGAGGGGACAGCCCGCTCGGGGTGTGGCTTCCCCGCGGCCCCGGCCGGTGCCCGGTGGGCAGCAAGGCCGCCCTGTGGGGCCCTGCGCCAGAGGGGCGTGGTCTGCAGAGGCTGCCCACGTGGGCCGGGCTTCCCCTGGAGGGCAGTGCCCGAGGGCAGGGATGGGCCAAAGTCAAACCAGATGGGCTGGGGGCCCCAAGGGGCAGGCGGGCCATTCGTCACCGTTATCTGCCCTGCCGCCAAATCACAAACACATTTTTAAGTGAAGGACTGGCTGCCACCGGCCTGCGGGCCTTGATGCCGCCCAGCTGTGGCCACACTGCGTGGGGGTGGGGGTGGGGGTGGGGGAGGGGGGTGCAGGGGCAGCGGGTGGCCTGTGGCAGGAGAGACGGGCACCCCCACCATGCCCGCGCACTGCCCTGCCTGCAGGCTGAGCCCGCGCCAAGCCGCATGTCCATGTGAGGCCTCCCCTCCTCGGGGCTGGGGCGCAGGGCCCGGGGCACCCCTGCTCTGCCCGGGGCACCCCTCCGCCTGCCTTCTCCCCAGAGCCTTGGCATCAGAGACTCAGCATCTGGTCCACACACTGTGGGCCAGGGCTGCCTGGGGGACAGAGGGACATGGGCTGTAGCGGCACCTTCTCTGTGGGGCTGGGGGCTCCGGGGCCACTCCAGGGGGGCAGTGGGCAAGACCAGAGCTGAGACAGAAGCAAGGGCCAGTGGCCAAGAGGGGCGGAGGCAGGAGTGTGAACTGGCACCGTCACGAGCCCCCCCGAGTGTCCCCCTGAGTGTCCCCGCGAGGCTAGCCTCACTCTCACTGCAGCCTGACTGTGTGCTTGGCGGGGCGGTCCTCTCGGCCTGCAGGTGAGGGGGTGGGGGTGAGGGGCAGGGGCGGGACTGTGCCGCGTCTGTCTGTCCCTGGGAGCTGAAGGCAGGTCCTGCCCAGCACCCTGGACCCCCGGGCGGGCCCACAGGGGTGGGGGGGGCGCCGGGAGAAATGGCCTGTGACGGGGTGGGCGTCCCAGGCGGGAAAGCAAACAGTGTCAGCAGCTAATGAGCGGGAACCGGCCTGGGGCTGAGGGCCCGTGGGGGCCCACCACCATCGCTCATCCTGACAGGCGGGCGGGTGGGGGGGGCCAGGGACCAAGGCGAGAGCCCACAGAGGGTCCCCTGGAGGCCCGGCCTGCACGCAGACGATGGACGGACGGACAGATGGACAGCCCCCAGCCCCTCCCCCACGGTGGCCCGAGGGGGCCCAGCTCCCATGATCTCCGCCAGCCTGCAGACTGGGGAGGACAAGAGGGACTGTCCGGGGCAGGAGGGGGCTGCACCCGGACCCCCATGCTGTGGGACCTGGGTCCTGAGGACCCGTGCCTCCCCGGGCCTGTTTCCCCATCTTTACAGGGAGCAGGAGGAGGGGCGTCCCATGGGGTTCCTGCCCTCCCCGCCTGCCACGCCTCCCACCGGCCTGGCAGCAGCGGGCTGAGTCCACGGCGAAGGGAAGCGGCCCCTCCGTCCTGCCCGGGTCACCAGTGGGAGACAGGTGGGCACGTTAGCAGCCCCCTGACCCAGCCAGCACCCAGCAGAGCCCGTCCACCCCAGGCACTGCAGGGCTCCTGAGCGGCCGGGCCTGGGGGCGCTCCTGAACCCCACGGCCCCCGGAGGTGGCCGCCCACGCGGTGTCCGGGCCCCTGTCCCACCTTGGCCGGGAGGGACGGGCAGCCATAAATTCACACCGCCAGCCGCCCGCAGGATAAATGTGTCATCGGCCGCACGATTTATGAGCGCAGCCCTGGCCCGCGAGGCAGGGAAAACAAGCCTGTGTACACACAGACAGCGCGCGGGGAGGGACGGCTGCCGAGGGCACGCGGGGGCACGGCTGGTGGCGGGACGTGCACCCACAGGAGGCGCGAGGACCGTCCTGCCCCCCACACGCGCTCCCTCATGAGGAGGTGGCTGGCGGGCTCCATGCCCTCGAGGCACATCTCGGCCGAGGGGCCCTGGGCCGCTGCACGGGGAGACAGAGGCAGGGCGGACCAGCCTCGGGGACGCAGGGTGCCCAGGGGCTGGGAACGGGGCTGGGCCAGTCTCCTCCATCCTGCCTGGGGGCACCACGCCTCCCTCCTCTGAACACACCCCAGACGCGATGCTGAGGGTGTTAGGAGAAACAATGCAGGCAGACCCTTCATGGTCCTGCCGCCAGACCCTTCACGGTCCTGCCGCCACGCTGGAGACGGCCGTGCCCGCCACCCTCATCCACAGGACCCAGGGTGGCGGGCCAGGCTCCAGGCCCACCAGCACCAACCTCAGTTACCTGCTGGGACCAGTGCAGGTTCAGCCGCTGCAGCCCGAGACACAGGCAGGCCCAGGGAGGCCTGGGGGCACTCGGAGGGGAGCTGGGGGGCCCAGGGCAGGTTGGGAGGACTCCGTGGGCTCCCAACGGCATCACTGCATACTGACCAGGCCTCAGGCACCTCGTGGAGCAAGGCTACCTGTGGTGTCCACACACCCCACTGTCCACAGACAACGTCGCTCCTCCTGACAGCCTCACCACAGAGGCTCAGGAGTGCGCCCCGGGAGAATCTGGTACCAGTAGACCCTCGGGCCAGGGAGAGGGGCTGACGGATGACCCAGACGTCACAGTGCCTGAGCCATCTCACCCCAAATAAAGAGAGGCAGCACTGAGCCCCTGAAAGAAGTTCCCACACCAGGGACCCGCAGAGAAGAGACCTGCAGAGCAGGTAGAAACCCTGCACAGTAGGACCTGACACACTAGGGACCCCACACAGTAGGACCACACATGATAGGGACCCCACACAGTAGGACCCAGCACAGGAGGGACGCACACAGTAGTACCACACACAGTAGGGATACGCACAGTAGGACCCCACACAGTAGGGATACGCACAGTAGGACCACGCACAGTAGGACCCCACACAGTAGGGACGCACAACGCGGGGCAGGCCTCGGGGAGGCATTTAACACCAGCAGACCCAGAGCCCTGATGCACGGGTGGCCCCGCTTTCCTCACACAGAGGCGCACTGCTCCCCGGTGCGACGGCCCTAGATGGTGGCGTCGTGGGCCCCACCTGCTCCAGGTCTGTCGCGGGAGCCCCTCCGGTGGGCATGGGGCACGGGCGGGCGTGCTGGGACAGGCGGCTGTCAGGGCCCTGCCCCCCAGCCCTGCCCAGACAGAAGCCCGTCCTCAGGACCTGCTGGAATTCTTCAAGAGCATCTTTAAACAAACAAAGCCCAGAGAAAAGCAAACGCCCCAACACAAACCACATCAAAATAGACTCTGCATAGACGCACCGTCGCCCACGGGGGCCGGCAGAGGCCAAGGGGGCAGACTGCCCAGGTGACGAGCACGCTGCCGGGACCCCCAGCCCCAGGCTGCAGCCCCCTCTCAGGGTGGGTGTGCTGGGCAGGAGAAGGGGCGCCATGGGAACCCTCTACCTCCACTGGGGTCTGCACCCCCGCTCCCCGGGGAGGCCAGCAGGCAAAACTCGGGGAACCACTCCAGCCCCCACCTGTGAGGGCCCCCGTGGGCCTGGCACACTGGCATGGGGCACAGACAGCAGCACCTGGGCCGGGGGTGCTCTCCGCTGGGCAGAGGTCTAAGGACCAAAGCGTGGCACCCCAGCCTGCCCCGCCAGCGGCCTCTGGGCAGGGGTGCCCACGCGTGGGAATGTGAGCAGGAATGAATGAGGGGGGAGGCGCTCCCAGGGCACCTGGCGCCCCCACACTCTCCTCCAGACCAAGACCCTCCCTATCCCCACCTCCACACGCCGGCTTGGGGCTCAGGGGCGGTGGTTCTGAGCGTCCAGGGGACTGTCCGCATGACAAGGCCCAGGCCAGCCCCCGGGACACTAGGGGCCTCTCTCGGGCACAGAATTCCCAGAGCACCAAAGGTCTTTTGAGACAAGGAAGCCCCTGTCCCCACACCCAGCCCTTTGAAACAAGCCAGGAAAGATGTCATGGTGAATGTCTGCGGGCTTACCTGTGTACAGGTGGCCGTATCTCTGCCGCCTGCGCCCGGTGGGGCGTCTGAAGGACAGATGCCCAGGGCAGGCACTGCCAAGATTAGGCTGTGGGCCCCCCTGCAGGTCCCGGGAGCATCCTGACCCCAGAGGGTGCTTGCACCTGTGGCGGGGACACCTGGCCCGTCTCTCAGCACTCTTTGTCTCGCTGGCCCTCAGCAGCTGGCGTGGCGGGGACAGGAAACCCAGATGGAGGGAGGGACAGACAGCATTTCCCCTGGGGCAGAGGGGACCCCTGGAGGCTGTGCTGGGGAGGCCGCTGACCCCCAGTTCCTGTGGGCCAGCCTGGGGTCTCCTGGTGTGACAGGATGTCTCCCTGCAGACATTTCCTGTCTGCAGACAGAGACGATGAGGGTAGTGAGGGTGTGCATCCAGCGTGATGCAGGGTGCACACGACACCAGGTGTAGACGCCGAGTGTACACAGCCCAGGTGTAGACAGCACCACGTATAGACAGCACTGGATACACACAGCCCGGGTGTAGACAGCACCACGTATAGATAGCACTGGATACATACAGGCCCAGTGTAGACAGCCCAGGGCTGGTGACTGTGTTGCAGAGAGCTGGGCAGGGAACTCTGCCAAGGACAGTTCAAGGACAGAGGGATACAGCCAGGGCTGGGCCCAGTCAGCAGGGTCAGGGACCCCACAGACCCCCTCAGCCTAGGGGGGGCTGGCAAGAGCCCCCCGTTGATTTACGGTCACCCCGGGGGAGGGAGTTGCGGCTGCCGAGGCCTTGTTCTTGCTCCCCTCTCCCCCTCGTTGGGGGTCAGCAGGCTGGGGTGGGGTGGTTCTCAGCTGGTTTCCAGATGGGCCAGTGGAAAGGCGCCTGGAGGGGCGCCCGGGGTGGGGGGTGTCGGTAAAGGGACCTGGCGGTCAGTGGGCGGCTGGAGCTGCTTTGTCTCTGCGGTCAGTCGTCTCGCGGCTCTAGGCCCGTCTCTGTCACACGGAGCCCCCCTTCTCCACGACCGCCCGGGTGGGTGGGGGTGGGTTCTGGTGATTTATCACCCGCTGCCTGTCCTCCATCGGAAACGCCGGGGGTGGGCGCAGACGGTGCGCTGAGCTATGGGCCCCCAGGGCCCCGCCACCCACACCAATGTTGTTGCTCCGTCTGGGCGGCGGGCCACCCCCAGCATGGCCAGGGCCTGGCCCCCAGCCCTTCCCGGGGCCTCGTCCGTGGGGCCCTCGGAGCTTGCGCCCAGCGGGCGGCGGGTCCCTCCGCAGGCTGCAGAGGCCGCGGGGACCGCGCTCCACCGCCGGCCTGGTCGGGGTGCCCCTCTCCCTGGGCACCCGGCGGGCGGCGAGGCCAGCCTTTCACGGCCCCCTCCGCGCGCCCCCGCATTCCCCGCCTGCGCTCCGGCGCATACAGCAGGGGCCGAGGCAAAGAGCGGCGGACACGGCCGCGCTGCGGGCTCACTGGGCTGAGTCCCGGGCCACTGCCGCCCGGCGGAAGAAGCCCCCTATCTTCCCGCGACCGCGACCGGCTGTCGATGCGGGGCGTGGGGGTGGGGGCGCCCTCGTCCGCTGCCCCGCCCGCACCGGAGCGCCCTGCGGACCCTGGGGCCGCCCCAGCGAATGCGCGCAGTCCTGCTCTACGCCCCGCGCCCCTCCGCCCCCCGCGCCGCTCCATTCCCTCCGCAACCCCGCAGCCCCCCGCGCCCCTCCAACCCCCCCGCACCCCTCCGCCCCACCCCAATCCCGCCGCACCCCTCCGTCACCGCGCCCCTCTAATGCCCCGCGCCCCTCCATGCCGCGCGCCGCCCTCCGCCCAGTGCGCGCCGCGCGGGCCATTCGGCAGGCCGCGAGCGCCCTCTGCTGCCGGGCTGAGGCCGTGCTCCGGGGAGAGCCGGCCGCAGCGTCTGCATTTTTCAGGGACCAAAACACCGAGGTTCCGCGCACTGGTCAGGGCTGTGTCCGCCTGGGCCGCCTCCTGGCCTTGCAGGGACTCGGCGCTCTAGGCACCCCCTCGGTCGTCCTTCAGTCGCCAGGATGTGGCTTGAGCGTCGGGCTGGCCTCGGGGTGGTGCGCCACATGTCCCAGCAGGGCAGGCCCGGACTTAGGGCGTGGAGGCCTTGGATACTGAGGACATAGTGGCAGCAGGAGGCTTGGGCTTGCCCCGAGAGGAGCCCGGCCTTGACCTGAGGCTGGTGTTCCTGGGACTCATCACTGCCCGCCACCCTGCGAAGCTGGGGACCAGTGTGGTCAGAGGACTGGAGCTGCAGGTCAAGGGGCCAGAATCGCCTGCCTGGGAGCTGCAGGCATGAGGGGCTGGCGGGGCTGTTCCCATCTGGATGGAGTCTGAGCCCCAGGGGGGACCAGCCTGTCAGTGGGGAAGGGACCCCGGGGCAGGTGGAGGGGCTATGCAGGTCAGGGTCCCCAGCTGGGACCGCTCCCCTTCACCACACCCTGGAGGCTGAGGCCCCAGGGTCTGTGTGTGGAGCGTCAGCTCAGGCTCAGGGCCGGGAGCCCCCGGTGGTCAGTACCTTGGCTGGAGCCCCTAGAAATTACGGGGAACTGGCAGGAGGGCGGGATGAGCCCAGAGTAACTACGGGGTTCTGCTGCCCTGTCGTCCGAGGGGAAGTTCTTCCTCAGATCTGACCGCACCATGATGCCAGCCTTTTCCTCCATCAGGAGATCCAGCATTCTGCAGTTCCCGGCCTCCGGGACCCCCATACCCAGCCCCTCAACAAGACACTGGCCAGGAAGCTGGACTCCTGCTCACCACTGGTCACTCCCAGTTCCTGCTGGGACCTGTCCCACAGCCCAGGGAGACCTCCCTGTCTTAGCTTGGGGTCACCTAGGACTCCCAAGCCCCTTTCTCTGGGCCCTGCATTTGCCCCCCAGAGGCCTCAGCGAGGAGGAGAGGGGATCCCAGGGGCCTGTCTCAGCTCTGCTCCCAGGGCAGCCACAGAGAAACCTCTGGGGCCCACCAGAGAGACCCTACTTGGAATCAGGTTTTCTGCTGTGGAAAGGGGTGACACCCTGTTCCTGCACTGCACTGGGTCTGAGTTTAGGGGGTGGTCTGTGTACCTTGCTGCGATGACTATTACCTCTGACCCCCACCAGGGCTCCAGGCCACTCCCTGGGGGGCAGGGGGCATTTCTTTGTGCAGAAGGGGCTGCTGTCCCAGATCTGGTGATAAGTCTGGATGGACAGCAGACAGTCAGCTGCAGCCCACAATGGGCCGGATGCCACGCACCTGCCCACAAAGGAGGGAGTGGCTCCTGCCTCACGTCCCACCGGCAGCCCTGAGATAGCATCGGCCCGGCCGGAGGGCCATCCGTCTTGTCCCACAAAGGCTGAGACAAAGACCGTGTCAGTGGCAGCCTCCCCGACCGGGTCAGCGGGGCCAGGGGCCTTCCTGGGCCAGGCAGCCGGGGCTCAGGCCCCAGGCTCCTCTTCAGCGGCCTTCATTGTTCACAGGGCCAGAGAGGTTGGGGCCACATCTAGAGCAGAAGTGGGGAAAGCATCGCCCTCTCTCTGAGGCCGCCAGGCCCAGCTTAGCAGCCTGAGCCACACTGGGGCACGTACTCAGGATTTTCCAGGCCCTGGTGGCTCAGCCTGGATCCAGGGCTGGGACGGGGAAGACCAGGGCCTGAGAAGCAGTCAGGGATACCTTCCTGCAGGAGGTGGCAGCCAGGTGGAGGACACAATTCAGAGACCCTGCAACCCCCTGTGCCTCCTCACCCCTGCAAGCAACTTCTGTGGACCCCAGCTTGCAAGGCTCACCCCCTCCTCACCTGCTCTCCAGACCTTCTCACTCAAATGTCCAGGAAGGTGCCGCTGGGGCCCCTGACCGCCCTCACCATCCCTGGTCCAACGCACTCCTGATGCTTTGAGGCACCTCACACCCTGAACCATCCTTGGAGCCACTTGGCAGACCCACCCTGGCGCCCAGAAACCTCCACTCTGAGCACGTGCTTTCGGCACAGGCACCGCCCATGGGGTTCCCACTGTCCGCACACTGTCTTCACCCCCACCCCCAAGGTGGGCACTGTTCTTCCAGCCCGTCCATACCTCCCCACTTGAACTTTGGGGAGAGTCCGGGGTGGGCAAGTTGGCTTGCTGACCCCTGTGCCCCCACCAGGAGGTGATTTGGGGTGTATGAGCTGCCGGGTGGGAACCAGCCCTGGGAGCTGTCTCTGGGTTTGGGAAGGGGATTCTGCGTCAAGAATCAAGGGGATTCTGTGCAGATCGGTCGGATGGTGAGCAGGGTTTATTGGCACTGCAGATAGCATGGAGGGCTCCACGGGCCTGGGCAGCGCCTTCCTCCAGGCCCTCCTCGGTCCAGGTCCAGGGCATTGGTGCGTGTGGCCAGCGGTGCGCGCAGCAGTCAGGCCCCTGAGCGGGAGGCAGGTCTGGGAGATCGTGAGGACAGGGGTAGGGCGGCCGGCCGCACGGTTCAGCGTCAGTCGCTCGGCTCGGGGGTCGCGCGCTCGGCGGCCAGCGGGGCGCTCAGTGGCCTCCGTCGGGTGGCGCGAGCGCGCAGGCTCCGCAGGCGGCACAGCAGCAGCGCCAGCAGCAGCGCATGCAGCAGCCCGAGGACGAGCAGCAGGAGCTGCGCCGCCAGCGCCCCGCGGCAGAGCGCGCCGGGCGGGCAGGTGGCGCGCAGCTCGTCCTCCGCCAGGTAGGGCAGCAGGCGGCCCCGCAGCGCGGGGGGCGCGGCGCAGCGCAGGTCGCGGTAGGGCTCGCGCTCTGGCCGGCCAGCCAGCCAGGCCCGCAGCGGCAGCAGGTGGCAGTCGCAGCGCCAGGGGTTGGCGCCCAGGTGTGCGCTGCGCAGCGCCGGCAGCGCGTCCAGCAGCCCCGGCGGCAGCGCCGTCAGGTTGTTGCCGGTCAGCACCAGCTCGGTCGTGTCCGGCGGGAAGGCGGCCGGCAGCGAGGCCCACGTCAGCCCGCGGCGCCCGCAGTCCACGCGCGTCCCCGCGCAGCGACACGGGGCGGGACAGCCTGCGGCCGGGCGGCCCGGCGGCGCGAGCAGCAGAAGCAGCAGGCTCAGCGCCCCGCGCGGCCCTGGAAGGGAAGCCCCGCGGTGAGCCCAGCCCGCGGTGCCCCGGGCCGGATCGCCACCGCCCGCGAGCCTTTCCACCCGCCTGCCGGCTGGAAGGGTCCTCCAGGTCTGCCCCGAACCGCTCTGACTGCAGCCCAGAGGACCGAGAGCCTCCCCGCCGGATGTCCTTGGGGAGCGCGCGGCCCGGGCAGACCCGACTCACCGAAGCCCATGGCTAGAGGTCGGCGACCGGGCGAGCTCTGGAGCGCCAGGCGGCGGTCGCAGGACCGGGCGATAAGGCCGCCCCGCCCCTGCCCGGCCCTGGCGCGCCCTCCGAACCGACCACAACGCGGCCACCCCGCCAGAAATAACCCCGAGGCCGAGCCGCCGGCACAGATAGAGCGCTATCGCCGGGTCGCCAGCCGACCGGGTTTCCGGCCCCTCGCTCCTGGGGCGCACAGACCACTCGGACACCCTCTTCGACGCTCACCAACATTGTTCTCCTGTCACCAGGACAGGGCGCAGCATTCACAACGGAACACACTGGAGAATGGGGCTCGGAGCCGGGGATCATGCGGGTGGAGGGACAGGGACCAGGGACTCGGGAACCCACGGCGACAGTGCTGCTGGGGAGAGCGGGCCTCCCGCCACTGATGGGCAAAAACGGTGGTGGGACAGGGACGAGAGTGGCCAGTCTGCCGACCACCCCGCTGCTCCTGGAGCCCCCCGGGGCCAGGCCAGGCCGTGGGGGAGGGGTGCCGGCATTCATAGCGAAGCCCAGCTACGTTACTGCCCCCAGCAGCCAGCTGACCTCCTTAGGTTCGGACGGAGCCTAATCCCTTCCGCTCCCAACCTGTGTGCAGAAGTGCCTGGAGAGTGGGGGAAGGGGTAAGAAAGACCCAGCCCACGGGGGCCCAAAGGGAGGCTCCGAATCGGGAAACAGGCCAGGGTCCCGGGGATCAGCCTCCCACCCCCACCTCCACTCTGCCTTGGTTCTCCCGTCCGTGTAAGTAGGGCCTGGAGTCAGTGCAGTGACCTTCCGGTTGAGGGCAGATTTCAGAAGTCACCACCCAACTTAGATCCAGCGCCCCAAGGCCAGAGAGGGCTGTATGTTGGGGGGAGGGGCCCCACCGTCCAGCCCCTGGGAAGCAGATACAAACGAGGGGAGGGGCCGATGCTGAGAATAAATTAGGGTTGGCTGGGGGTTGTGACCCAGCGTCTCTGAGAACAGGAGGGAAAAAAAACCAGGTCTGGGCCACTCTGGGGTGGGGGGGTCGCGCCAGGGCCTATGGGCGATCCAGACGAATCCGGCGTCGAGTCCAGGCCCGTCAGGGTCCAGGGGTGGGAAGAGCCAGCCCGGAAGCCGGCAGGATAGTCATGGCACGTGGGGCTGCGGCGGGGTCACTGGTCCTGCATCTGCTGCTTCATTTTCTGCAGCATCTCTTGCATCCGCCTTAGCTGGGAGGGGGCAGGAGGGACAGGGGGTGGTGTGAGCGAGCGGTGGGTGGGGCCTGCCCCCCCCCCGCACCCAACCTGGCTCCTCCCCTCTCCCCGCCCACTCGGACTGGCTCCGCCTCACCCCGCCCACCCAGCCTGGCTCCGCCCCATCCACCCAGCCTGGCTCCTCCCCTCTCCCCACCGACTCGGACTGGCTCCGCCCCACCCCCCGCCCACCTCCTCATCTTTCATCCTGATGAGCTTTTCAGTCTCAGCGTCGGGCGTGGGCAGCGGCAGGATGGGTATTGGGCTCTCCATGCGGCTGTCCTGCGTCAGCTTGCTGCAGGGTGGGCAGCGGGGACAAGGCTGCTGGGGGCCGGGTTGACCCTCGACACCAGCACGGTCCTACAGCTCTCACACCTCTGGGCGGGGGCAGGGGGCGGGGGCACGCACCTGGTCATCTGCTGGATGCAGTGTGCGCGGTAGTTCTCGTAGTGCACGTCGCAGGTCACGTCCTTGAGGTCGTGCATGTGCGTGCGGATCAGCATGTTGCGAAGCTTCACGAAGTCGCAGTGCGCCTGGTTCTCCACTGCGGGCAGGGGTGGCCCGTGAGTGGGCCGCCGGCCTGGGGGAGCCTTCCCACCCTAAGGCTGTGCCCCAGACCTGGACTCACCCTCCACGATCCCCCACGGGTACAGACGCCCCCGGACCCGCTGCCCCTTGGCCTCCACCACCGTGTTGCTGCCGATAACAGCGAAGGGTGCGCTCTCCTGGGGGGGGGGGGCAGGTGCAAGGGCTCATGCCCAGTTAGCATGGGCATGAGGTGCAGTGCAAGAGGGACCTGGGCACACTGCACCTGATCCGCCTCTCCAGTGTCCCCAACAACAACCTCTCCCCAAAGAGATCCTTTCGTCCCCACCTTGGGCCTCTCTGTTGCCAGCTGAAGCCAGAGCTGGTGCCGCTTACATGGAGGGCTTCTGCTGGGCTGTGCCCAGTCAGATGTACCCTCCCCACGTGGTAACCCTCCCCCTCCTTCCCCAGAGCGGAGCCCGTGCCGCCTGTTAGCGGGGTGAAGGGCCCACCCTGGTCCTGGCCCAGTGGCCACTTGTCCCCAGCTTGGCTTTTCCTGGGGCTCCAAGGGCCCCAGGTCAGACCAGGGCCGCAGCCCTCCTCTAGACCCGGTGTACAGTGGCCTCTGGGGTCCCCCCAAGTGCTGCAGGCTCACCTTCAGTTCCCGGTCCTGCTGCTTGAAGTCCTCATCCTCATCCGAGTCACACTCAGGAAACTGGTACACGTGGATCCCAAACTTGTCGATCTCCTCCCGGATCTGCAGCCAGCGAGGGCTGTCAGGGGAGGGGCCGGTGGCCTCAGTCCCCCCCGAGCCCCACGCGGACCCCCCCAGCCCCACAGGCTCACCCGCTCTTTCAGCTTGCGGATCTCCCCAGGGACAAGACAGTCGGCCTTGGCGATGAGGGGCACGATGTTCACCTTCTCATGCAGGGCCTTCATGAAGCCCACGTCCACTGGCCGCAGCCTGTGAGGGGGACAAGGGTGAGGGGCTCGTGGGGTGGGAGCGGCGGGAGGGGGTGCCCAAGGAACAGGCAGGCCAGGTCCCCTGGCCCAGGGCAGCCACCTACCCGTGCCCAAAAGGGGAGATGAAGTACAGGCAGCAGTGCACACGGTTGTCCTGGATGTTCTTGCGGTTGAGGCCACTCTCGTCCCGGAAATACTGCTCAAACTGCTGGTCCACATAGTCGGTGATGGGCTTCCAGCTGGGGGTAGGGGGGCACATGAGGCCAGCCGGGCTGGGAGCCGGGGGCTAGGGCAGCCTGGGCAAGGCTTCCTCACCACTCAGAGTTGTTGACGGCATCCCCAAAGCCTGGTGTGTCCACGATGGTGAGCTTCAGCTTCACTCCCTTCTCTTCAATGTCCACCGTGTGCTTTAGGATCTCAACCGTCTGGCTGATGCGTTCTGGGGCCGGAGGCGGGGTGGTGGAGGTGTAGAGTGGCTTCTGCGGCCCTGACTCCCACCCTCGGGCATCCCAGACCCTCCCAGGTTACGTGGCCTCGTGGTGGTCTAGACCCATGCTTCGGGGAGAGAGGATCAGGGATGGACCTGGAAGGGGCACTCGAAAGGGTCACCCAGCAGGGGGCGTGGGGCCCACTCACCCTCAGCACTCAGCAGTTTCCGCTCCTTGTAGAGGTCGGTCAGGAAGAGGCTGTGGACCAGTGTGGACTTCCCCAGGCCTGACTCCCCTGCCCACAGATGCAGTGGGGAGGTCAGGTCCCAGGCCCCAGACGGAGCCTGGCTGCCCGTGCCCCTGCCCGCCCTGGGGCCTGGTGCGCTCACCGGCCACCATGAGCGTGAAGTCGAAGCCCTTCTTCACAGACTTGCGGTGCACCTGGTTAGGCAGCGTGGCGAAGCCCACGTACTGCTTGTCGATGTCCTGGACAGGGGTGGGGCAGGTCAGGGGCATGCTCGGGTTCCCGGGGCAGCCCCGGGCCCTGCCCCTACAGAGTTCAGGCCAGGGGGGCAGCAGGGCAGGGTACCCCCAGGAAGGGGCATCTCAGTGGTAGCCGCGGGCGAGGGCCTGTGGGCAAAGGCCCCCCGAGGTGGAAGGCGGGTGGGCATGGAGGGTGGTGGTGCCTCCAAGGGCTTCACAGAGACCGAGTCTGTGCCCGGAGCGGGGCAACAGGCACATCCAGTGAGGCCGGTGTCCTGGGTGGGGGGCAGAGGGCACCAGGACCCGGGACCCCTCAGACATGCCCAAGGCCCTCCGAAGCTGGAGAGGCCCCCGCCTCAATACTCACCCCTCCGTGAAAGTGGGGGGTGGGAGGCCCCATCTGGCCCTAATCCAGCCGCGGGGGCGGCTGGCAGCAGCAACAGCAGAGCTGGGGCTATTTATAGACAGCAGCCCCCAGCCTCCACGCGGTCCCCAGCGCCCAACTCAGGACCCCAGGGCCCTGCGGCCCCCGTCATATCCCCAGTCCCGGCACCGGGGTGGGCGCGCGCTGACCCACTTTCCACGCCCCGCTCCACACACACCTTGAGCCGCCTCTGAGCCTGGGTCCGCGGCGATAGCAGCGGCTCCACCAGGCGGTCCTGGGGTGCTGCCAGCGAGTCCATCCCCGCCAGCCTGGGACCGTGCGGGCCGCTCTGGGGCCCAGAGGGTCAGGCCCGCCCGCCGCCAGGCGTGTTCTCGCCCCCGGGGCGCACGGACGCGGGCACCGGGGCCCAGGGCAGGGTGGTGCTCACGTGATGCGCGACCCCGAGGCCCCTCGAGCCGTGGGTCCGGCCCCAGACGGCCCGCCCCAGGCACAAGCGGGTCCCTGCGCCTGACGGGAGCGCGCGGTCTCCGGGAGACGGTCGCCTGGAAATGAGGCCGCGCGGGCGGAGCCACCGGAGCGGAGGAGGGCAGGGCCCAGCCCCGCGGGCTGGCGGGCGGCTGCGCGCGGAGCGGCGCGGCTCGGGCCGTCAGCCCGGCGACTGCACGGCGGGGGCCGGTCCACGGCGGGTCCGCGCCACCGCGCCCGCCGCCAGAGGGAGCCCCATCCGCGCGCTCCCGCCCGGCCCCCCGAAACTCCTCACAGACGCACCCCTCCCTGGGCGGCCCACCCCCCGCATGTGGCCGGAGAAGGTTTGCGCCGCGGCCGCCGAGACCAGCGGGGAACCTGCGAGGGCAGAGCCCCGCTCCCCACCCAGGCCCGCCTCGGGCGGGAGGGGGCGGTCAGAGCCCGAGATGCCCGCCCCCGATCCCCTCTGCAAACGCGGAAGCTGTGGCCCATGGGTGGCTCCCCACACCCGCCGGCCAGCCCTGCTGGCCACACAGCCGCTGCCAGCCGAGGGGGGCTGGTGGAGCGGACCCCTCACCAGGGTCTGTCAGGGGACACTCTGTCTCAGCTTCCACCCTGCCCTCACCCCCAGGGCTGGGCAATAGGGGGCCTGGGGGGCTCCAGCCAGCTCCGGCCTCTCGCCTGTGCCGCGATGCCAGGGACCAAGGGGGTCTCCCGAGCCCACAAACCCGGCCTTGCCCCCACCCCACAGGCCCCCACCAGAATCTGAACAGGCCAGAACAATGGGAAGGAGCTGGGCATCCAAAGAGGTGGACACACTCTGAACTCTGTCAGTAGGGCTGGGAGGCCCCCACACCCCTACCTGCCCTCCCTTCCTGGCTCCCCACTCAAGGGGCCTCTGTCCCCCCGCCCAGGCCAGAGCTGCTGCCGTGGGGCCTGGAGGCCGCTGGCACCTGGGGAGGAGGGGTGGGTCCACTGCTGGGAACAGGGGCGCCTTTCATCCAAGAGGACGGTGGGGGGAGCCACAAGCCGCAGCCCGGCCGCCTGCCCTGGTTCCAAGAAAGCATCCGCCACGTGGACCTGTGGGGGGCCTCCGGGCTGAGTATCCCCCCGCCTCCAACCCTGGGCTCCACCTTAGACACGGCTTCTAGGCCCAGCTCCCACCGGGTGGACAAGCCGACGTCTCGGGCCTGGGGCGCCTCCAAGGACAGAGCCAGGCCTGGCCTCAGTGCCCTACAGCCTGGGGCCTGAAGGATGCACTGCCCAGACAGCCTCAGTTTGCACGCTGGTAAGGCACAGCCTCGGGAGGCCCAGGACAGGGGACAAATCCAGCCACTGCCGGCCCAGCCCGCGTCCCACCTCATCCGCACAGGGCTGGGGATTCCCTGGGGGTCCCCAAGGAGAGGGCCCTGACACCCGCTTTGTCTGGTCCCCGAGGCACAACAGACACTGATGAGGACTCCTGGAGTCGCAGACATGCCTCGCCCACCTCCTCCCTACCGCCTGCTGCCTGACACTCTCGAGGCGTTTTCTTTCTTAGAATCTCCCCGTCAGCTCCAGGGACAGGAGCCAGAGCCAGTGGAGCTACCAAGCTGAGACGGGGTGCAGTGGGGAGGGCACAGAGGAGCACCAGAGCCCCCCAGCCCATGCCTGAGATGGTGGGCACAGAGGGGTCCACAGAGCCCCCTCTTTCCTGGAGGGGTGACAGGCTGAGGCTCAGAATACCAACAATGGAACAGTGAAGACCCACGGGGAGCATGTCCCAAACGCCTGGCTCCTGGCCCCCATCCGGGGTTACCCTACACCCCACCTGCATCACACCCTCTGCCTCGGGCCCCGGGGGCAGGCATGGGTGAGGCCGGTCCTAGCTGAGCTCCAGGAGGGGCTGGAGCCCCAGAATGGGACCCCAAGTGCCCCCAGGCCTCGGAGCGGGGCGGGGGGGGGGGGGCGGTCTCCCGGGTCTTCCCCCTGTCTGTCCCTGAACAATGGCGGGCTGGCGGGCTGGCCTTGCATCTCCTGCATTGTTCGACCCGCAGAATGAGCAGGCAGCTCCCGGCCCCGGCTCCCCGGGGAGACCCTCGCTGGCAGGGTGAGGATGACAGGCCCCTCCCCATGAGCCTCGCCCAGCCCAGGGCACAGTCGGCGACTCCCAGCCCCCACCCCACCTGCCAGGCTGCTCCGCCCGCCTGCCACACCTGGGCCAATACTGTGGGGTTCCACCCAGGGTGTGAACCCCCATCCCTGACGAGGGCTGCCAAGGCCACCCTGGTGCCCAAGTCGGGCCTTCCTGTTCTGCCCTAAACAAGGCTGCGCTCGAGCAGAGAGACCTCAGCCAGCGGGGCTGTCCCAGGGCCCCAAGCTCCCCCCTGGCGCCCCCCTGCATGGGGTCTCCGCGACATTTAAACCTGACCTCAGCCAGCTTCACGGTGGGCGTCCAGGCGGCCTCCTGTCCAGCACTGTCCACCTGGAGGGTGGGGTCCAGGCCGGCCCTCGGGTGAACCCGTTTGTACCTCTTAGGTCAGATGACCCAAGCTGGGCAGGGGGATGACCGAGACCAGGCCCTGGAGACTCCCAGTCTGGGGAAGAGGCCCCAGGTCAGCCCACTCACGTCACTCAGTGGGAAGAGGATGCAGAGAAGCTGGGTGGGGTGGCCGGAGCAGCCGTCCGCGCTCTCCGTGTGGGGCCACTCTGGGACGGCCCTGGCTGCTGGACGGAGACCCCTCCCTCCGCCCATGGCGTTCCATGACCAGGGGCTCCCTCAGGACCCCAGCACGCGGCCTCGGGCCAGTTCAACAAGGAGAGGCCGGCGCTGGACCAGTGGGAGGGGGCACCTGGCCCATCCCCCATCGGGGAGGGGTGCCCGCTGCGCAGGCCGGGGTTAGGATCCAGGACCAGGGCACCGCGCCCCCTCTGCCCCGCAGCACCCGGCTGACGATCGGCTATCACGACAGGGTGGGATGACGGCGGGCGGGGGCGGGGTCGCGCCGGGGCGCCGCGGTGTTGTTGGCACAATGGGTGACAGCGGGCTGGGGGAGCGGCGGCGCACGCGTACCTGCTTGTCCTCTGCGAGTGCGAGTCGGGTCGGGGGTCGGGTCGGGGTCCAGGGCCGGCCGGCGGGCGGGAGAGAGACCGAGACACACGGTGAGAGGCGCGCGCGGCGGGGACAAAGGCGCGCGCGCGCGCGCAGGCAGGCGGGCGCCGGGCTCACCTGGGGTCGCCAGCTTGCTCTTGTGCCGCAGGCCTGTGCTCATGGTGGCCGCCGGGGGACGTGCGCGCGGGCGGGGCGGCGACGAGCCGAGGCCAAGGCCGGGCTGCGGGGTGACCGGCCCCTCCGCGCCGCCGCCCTCCCCGCCCGCGCGCCCGCCAGCCAATCGGCGCCCGCCGCGCCCACGCGCGACCCGGCGCGGCCGGCGGGGGCGGGGACCCGGGCGCCCCCACCGCCCCGCGCCCGGGGCCACGCCCTCCCTTCCCGCCGGCCGGGCGCCGGGGCACCCGAGACCCGCGCTGCGCTCGGCCCCCGTGACCGTGGCCGCTGTCCACCCCCTCTCCTCCCTGCCTAGGCCCCCGGGCCCCCAACACCGTCCCTAACCGATCCCCGGCCCCCTACCCAGACCCCGGCTCTGACTCCTCCACCCTCCTGGGACCTCCGACCACACCTGACCTCTGATCATCCTTGGTGTGGCCCCCCCCGTTGAGCCCCCAGAGGCTCCCGTCTCATACATGCTCCACCACCACCCTCAGCAGGCAGGCTCTGCCCAGCTGAGGTCAGGGCATGCCCCCACCTCATCAGGGTGGATGCCAGGGGCTTTGGCCTGCAGAGCCCGGCTCCAGGCCATGTCAGGGCCGAAAGCCTGATGCCTGGCACGCAGCCAGCCCCAGCTCCTCTCCTGCAGCTGTTCGTGTCTGTAGCCGGCTCTGCACGTGCACACACCTGGGCAGTCGGTCCGCCCCAGTTCCAGGATCGTTGGTAAGGAATGAGCCGCCATCGACGGCTCCCACAGTCACCCCTGCACCTCCAGGCCCACCCCAGCACCCTGTGCTCTGCACACGCACAGGCGGACCTGCTGAGACCACCCTGAGAAGGGGCCCCCTGGGTACTGCGAAGGTGGGCCAGGGTCTGCATCCCACTTAGGCTGACGTCTCCCCAGGCTGGGTGCCTGCTGTCTGTTTCGGTCACTGCCACACTCCCAGCGACACTGCCAGCTGCCCTCAGCCTGGACCTCCCGGGAGCGCCCCCCAGGAGTCTCGTCTGGGGCTCTCAGCCCCTCAGGACGGACGTGGGGCCTGTGGTCCGCAGCCCCCCAGGTGAGCGCCCCTGCACCGGCGGGAAGCCCCGTCCCGCCCCGCCCTCTGCCGGCCTGTGGGCTCCGTCATCTCTGAGCGCTGGCGCTGGGCAGACTGTTCCCCTCTCACCTTCGCTGCCGCCCGGCTGACCCGGGTCCCCTCCCCCGGGGCCTCCGCCTGGTCCGGCAAGAGGTGTGGGGCCAGTCCACCCCCCAACCCTGCCCCAGGCCCTGGGGCCAGAGCGTCTGGAATGCAGGGCTGTCATCCTCTCACAGACGACCTGATGCCTCAAAGGGCCCTGGGGCTGCGCCTGGACGTTCCTGTCTGAAGGACTTCCTGGTGGTCCCGCGGTTGCGACTCGGTGCTTTCACTGCTGGGGGCTTGGGCTCCATCCCTAGTTTGAAGCTAAGGCCCCCCATGCCACGCCACCACAATAAATATTTAAAAAAAAATTTTTTTTTTAAGATTTTGCACTGAAACACAACTGTCCCCATAAGCTGCAATAAATAAAGATCATAGTAAATGTATATCTTGGTTCAGGACTGGCTTTGTCACCAGATTTTGAAAACCTTTCTTTCAGAGCTTTAGGGAGTTCAGGATTGTGGATAAAGGCGTGGGGCCAGAGGGGACACTTGGAGTGCGAGGCAGGACTTCTAGGCCTTCACCAGCCCTGGGGCCCTCCGTGGAAACCCCATCTCAGGGGACCTGGAGCCTAGCTAAGCAGTCCAGTCAGGCAATGAGAAAGGGCACTTCAACAGTTAGCACCAACTGACCCAAGCAAGCCTGTGCTCACGGGGACTCTGGAGGACGGGAAAGCTGCCCTGTCCTGGGGGCCTGGGAGGGGCTCCAGGCAGCCCCAGATTAGGGGTTGAACTCGGCCCTGAGGGGACTGGACTGCTGAAGGGCCGGGTTTTGAAACAATCCTGTGGGGGAGAGGCAGGGAGGGATGGGACACCACAGAGGCAGCTCTTTCTCATCTAAGTGCGCCCCAGGGGAGGGTGGGCATCAGCAAAGGTGGGCCACAGCCCAGCTTCTTGGGCCTGGAGACCCCTCGTTGAGCTGACGGCGAGAGGGCCGGAGCTGCCCCAGGACTCCCGAGGGCAGGCCCAGGTCGGGCCTCTGGTGAAACCCCCGGGGGGTAAGTGACCTTGGGCTGCCGGGCGGGAAGCGGGTGGGGTCTGCTCCCCCCAACCCGGCCGCGAGCCCAGGGGACACCCCAAATCCCACCACAGACACAGGGGCTGCCCCTCCAGCTGAGAGGCCCTGGGGACAGATCACGGCTCCTCTGCCCGAGCAAGCGCGCAGCCTCCAGCCAGTGACTCACAGGCGCGTCTTCTGCTCTGCCAGGTGGGATGGCAGAAGGGCCTCTTCCGGCTTCTCCAGCCTGGACGCTGCCAACTGACCACCTGGTGCAACCCTTCCAAGGCCCCTGCCCACCGCAGGTCACGACCCTGGGGGTGGGTGACCTTGGGCAGGAGAGCCCCGGGGGCCCGGCCAGCCTGCCTCCCGCCGCAGGGCTGTAGTTTAAGGAAAACCCAGCCTCCTGGGCTGGGGGAAGCAGGTCTGAGCCCGCCCCCAACGCCGGAGCAGGGAGGCTGGCAGTGGTACAAGGAGGAATCAAAAGAGATGCTCCTGGGTGGGAAGAGCACTACTTCCTAATTCACAAGAAAAAGAAGCTAATGAGTGAAAAAATAAGCTACACCCAGAAAAATCTGCTCAACCAACTTGGGCTACAAATAGCTTGACGCTTTTCAGAAAAACAAAAAAAAACTCTTTTTATTTCGGAAGTTCTCCAGAGGCCGCATTTAGATGGTGTGGAATCGTCCTTCCTGTCGACACAGACGCGTGGGCCTCTGTGGTCACATGGGCGTTGGCGCCTCTGTGTAAGCCCTAAGCCCGGAGGTGTTGGGCTCGAGACAGGGCAGCCTGTCCAGGGGACACACGGTGTCAGGTGACTGGGGGCCGCTGGCGACACACTCGAGAATGTTCAGTCCGTCTGAGGCCAAGGTCGAGTGTAGAAGCCGAGCTGGACACAGCTTGGTCGTCGACACTCCCTCTCTGGGCTGCAGGTCATGTGGCCCCGGGGGGGTTGGACTGCCTCTTTGAAGCAAGGGCCACCAGGAGAGGAGGAAGAAACACACTGCCCATCACGGGGACACAGAAGGACCTTACTCAGCTCCAAGTGGAGTTAGCCCACTGAGACCACCTTCCTGGCATGCAGGATGCCCCTTCCCCACGTCCCAGCCCGCTCAGAGCCTCAGACCCCTCGCAGCTGGGGCCCCCGTCTTCAGTGACAGCGTGGGGCTCGAGATAGATGCCCCTGCTCGGCACGTGGGGCTGTGATTCCCGCAGCCCACCCCTACGGGCCCCGGGGTGGTGCCCGGGGTCCCCCACTCATGCAGCCTGTGCCCAGGTGTGGGGCCTCTGCCCAGAGCAGCCCCAGGTCAGGCTCAGCGTTGGCCCAAGAGAAGGACCCGAGGGATGGGGGCACGCTGCTCAGGCCCCCCACAGTGAGCACCCCCGCGGTGGCCCTCCCCCACTGCCCAGCCAGCCCCCGCACCCCACCCCGTGTGCTGTGCGGTGCCTGCCAGCTTCTGGCTCAGTACTGTCCCCTCTGAGGTCCCCGCTTCTCAGGGTGAAGCTGGGGCTGTTGTGGGGTCGCCCAGGCTGGGGCCCAGGGGTCCTCTTCTCCCTGGGGGACTCCTGGTGTGCAGGAAGGTGAGTCACCCTCCCAGACCCCCAGACCCTGAGGGTGAGGGGCACGGCATGCTTTGCGGGCCTCCCCCCTGTCTGGGCAGGGGGGAGAGCGCAGGAGGAGAAAGGCCTGAGCGAGGGCCCTGGGGCAGCATGCGGGCCTCGGCCCGGATGCGGGTGTGGCCGTCCTGCGCTGTGGCCGCAGCCCCGCCCGCCCCAGAGCCCAGGGTGCCCTCTGCCCAGACAGGCCAGCGAGGGGGCCGTGGGCACGGCTGCCCGCAACACGGAGGGCGAGGGGCTCGTGTGTGCAGCCGGGGGCCGTGGAGCACCCTGCCCTCACCTCCCCTGAGATCGCCGTGTGGGGTCAGGGCGAGTGGGCACTCACACCAGTAGACAGCAGGCCCGTCCAAGGGACACACTGTCCACGGCAGCTGCCCCGCCGCGGGCTGCCGGAGACAGAGCCTCGGTCCACACCACGGTCCCGTTCCCTGGACCGCTGGACCGAGGGACAGAGGGACAGAGGACGCCTGCCCTCGGTCCCAGGGGGCCAGCCTGGTGACCCGGAGCAGCAGCAGGCGCCCCTCCCTGGTGAGAGCCGGTGGCGGGGTGCCTCCAAGCCTTCATGATGAGACGGGGTCCGGAAGAGGACGGAGCGCAGCGTGACTCAGCCAGTGGGTGCTGCCGACCAGGGCCAGGGCCCCCACCAAGTGCGGGGCTTCACAGTGACCCAGACCCAGGTCCGCCCTCCCCCGTCAGCACCTTTGCCTTCCAGGGAAGGCTGGGTGTTGGGGTTCCAATGGCTGGCCCCAGTGCCCAGCGGTATCCCAGCCCCACGTCTGTCTTGGGGTCATCAGGCCAGAGACGTGTGAGAAAACCCCCCGGGAGTGAAAATCATGGATGTGGCCATGGGCATCCAAGGAAGGGCAGGAAGGGCCCGGGGTCTCGGCTCAGTCCCCCTGCCCCTCGTTCTCGCTACAGGCCGTGGGGGGGCTCCTCTGCAGAGCTCTGCCCGCCCCAGGCAGCCGACTTAGGGGAACCACGCTGGGCCCCTCTAGTGGGGGGCAGCAGGAGCCCCTGCGCTTCCATCACCAGTGGCTCAGAGTTTGGGGAGCCCAGCCTGAGTGCTTCTGGCCACTGACCCGCCGGGCTGAGTGAGCTAGATCCGGGGTGCCCTGGGAGCTGGGCCCAGCGCCCCCGAGCAGGACCACCACGTTAGGAGCCGGACCCAGGGCCCCCGAGTGGGACCACCACGCTGGGAGCCGGGCCCGGGGTCCTCGAGCGGGACCACCGGGGGGCAGGTGTTGCCAGGACTCCCTCCCCTCCCATGAGCTCTTGCCAAAGGCTGGTTTTTGCAGCTACGACTCTTCACGAGCACCCCTGGGTGCTGGCACAGCCTGGGGCTCCTGGACCAGCGCTCATCCCAGAGCGCTCGCCCTGCGGACAGCTGGGCCCGGCCTCCTGGGCAGGACGCACAGCCGATGGTGAGCTGGTCCTCCCAGCGGACACCCTGCAGGCGTCACAGAGCAGCACAGGAAGAGGAGCACCAAGCCTAAGAGTTTGCTGCACGGCTCTGGGCACTAAAGCTTTTCTCTTTTCCCCCTAAATGTTTAGTTTTACGTTTTAAATTTAAGTTCATGATTTTACTTTGAGCGCGTTCTTGTATAAGAGGTAGGCTGGCATTTTTGAGGGCTTGTGAGCGTCCCCTTGCTCTCAAAGCATTTGCTGCCTCCTTCCTTGTTGAATTGCTTTTGAACTTGGTCGGGGGACTTCCCTGGTGGCTCAAATTCTGCCTTGCAGAGCCGGAGAGCTGGGTTCAATCCCTGGTTGGGAAACTAAGATCCCATGTGGCATGGCAAAAAAACTAAAAGAAAAAGAAACAGATGTTTGTAACTTGGGTAAGTTCCAATTTATTGATTTTTCATTTTCTACCTCAAGCTTCTTTTGTTCTCTCCGAGAAATCTTTGCCCTCTTACTCCAAGGTCACGCACATCTCTTCTGTCTCTTCTCTAAGCTTTACACTCTCAGCAGTCTCTTTAGGGCTGTAATCCTTCTTTGACTTCTTTTGTGTGTATGTGTCAGGTAGAGATCAAAGTTTATCCAATTGTTCTAGCACCATTTGTTGAAACATTTAACCTTCCCCACTGAACTGCCATGACACCTCTGATGAAACTCAAGAGTTTAGCTTTCTCGTGGCTCTCGTTCTGAATTTAGTCTGTTTTGAAATGACTGTTGCTGCATAACAGTTCGAAATCTAGTGAAAAAACATCAACTTCAGCTCAGCTCAGTCGCTCAGTCGTGTCCGACTCTGTGACCCCATGGACTGCAGCACGCCAGGCCTCCCTGTCCATCACCAACACCCAGAGCTTGCTGAAACTCATGTCCGTTGAGTCAGTGATGTCATCTAACCATCTCACCCTCTGTCGTCCCCTTCTCCTTCTGCCTTCAATCTTTCCCAGCATCAGGGTCTTTTCAAATGACTCAGTGCTTTGCATCCAGTGGCCAAAGTGTTGGAGTTTCAGCTTCAGCATCAGTCCTTCCAATGAATATTCACGACTGATTTCCTTCAGGATGGACTGGTTGGATCTCCTTGCGGTCCAAGGGACTCTGAAGAGTTTTCTCCAACACCACAGTTCA